AATAAGGTATTCCTTATGTACTCCTCATGAAGCCAGAAAGAATAACCTCAGACAATATGCTTAATACAAAAGAGTCACATTGAAATTATCCTTTAAGGACTAAATATTGTTATCTAAAACCATACAATGATTATGCTCCATCCAGCAAATTAAATATAGGCATGAAACAGTATGAAGTATTTCAAAGTTCAATGCATTAAAAAGAAAAAATGTATCCTGGAAAATTTAACAAAAAAATATTGAATAATTGTTACATTTTCAACTGAAACTTAAATTGGAGAGAATAAAAGATCTAGAGTAAAAGATCAAAGAAACTTTGGTATAAGATTTTAGTTTAAATAATGCTTCAAACTCTTGATTGTGTGATTTCATCTTAGCACACTTGATATTTTGAGACCTCAACATTCTCCCCAGTGATGATGAGATTTTCTTGTATTGAAATACAACAAACTCATCACAAGTAGAATAAAAGGAATATATATATATATGTATATATATGATATTATTATATCATAATAAGTGATATATACATATATATAATATATCATAAGTGATATATACATATACATAATAAGTGATATAAACATACCATATGTTTATATATGTTTATATCATGTATTATGGTGCACAGTGAATTGAAACAATTCAACATGTATTAAGGGATAACATCATTGGAATATATATGAGTTTGAGCCAAGTCCCATAACTTCAACAAAATAAGAAATCTGGGTATTATAATATCCAGTTCCTAACAATTAGCAGATATTAAGGACCTAGTCAAAAGCTCTTATTACATTTTACCACAGAAAAGAAATCTTTAAGAAAGTTAATCTGAGGCTGGGGATTTAGCTCAATGGCACAGCACCTGCCTGGCAAGTGTGAGGTCAAGTTCTATCCCTGGTACCAAAAAAAAAAAAAAAAAAAAAAAAAAAAAAAGCAACTTAATCCGTTTATTTATTCAACTGTAATAATTTGAAATTTAAATGGCAATGGGATTCATTTCAAACATGTTTATTAGAGAATTTAAGAAACTACAAATTCAAATTACACTGGGAAAGAAAGTTTTTTTCAAATTCAGTTCTTACATCATTCTCGTTTTTTGTGTATCCATAATATTTTGCAGAAAAATTAATCAATTCCATCAGAATTTTTAGCTCTTTCCTGGTCCTTTCAATAAGGGCATTTATTTTCTGGCATTCCTAAGAATATTAGTAGGAAAAACTTAAAACAGTCTTTTTAAGTAGGAAGAATGTAATGTAGTTGGAAAGATGACACCAAATATCAAAATCAGATGTGAAATCAAATGCAAAGATAAGAGGTAAAGAAGATAGGACTCTTCATTATGTTCTCTAAAATTTTAAGAAAGATTAGTCTCATGTTTTAATACCGATAGAACAGTGAGCTTTTGTTAGGAATTTAAACATAACAGCAGAATATTCCAAATTCATCCCATCATTAACTGGGATGGTGCACATAGTTAGATATATCTGTTAATGTTTGCTTGCATGGAGATATAAAGTTGCAAGCACTGTAATTTCATTGCCTTATAAAAGTTTTTCATTTATTCTACACTATCCTCATGTTTAATAAAATCTAGATTTAGCTCTACGATGTAGTCCATCCCCATATATTACCACCAGACATGTGCCAATTCATGTAAATAATCACTGTGTCTATGCTTATTTTCCTCAAATGAAAGAAGGTCTAGCTCTTCTGAACATGTGGGAGATAATCATGTTTTAAAATTTGTGGATCATTAGTTATTGTAGAAGAAGCAGATGGCTTTAGTGTTATGCCTTGGCCTATTAGTTATAGATGGTTCAAATACTTTTGATCATATCCATTCACTAGACTGTGTTACATTCACATCCACACACCAACTAGTGTGAATGTATTTTGCTCCCTCTACTTCAAATTCACAATTATTTTAGAATAAGTTTGTAGAATAAAAACCTGAGGCTTTTATGGGTAAATGAATGCAACTTGAGACAATATTCATAAGTGAAATAAACTCACATGGGTAAATATCATATCCCTAGTGAAAAAAACTCAAAGAGTCATAAGATGCAAAATATACAATAGATATTGTGAAAATTAAAGGGAAAGAAAGTGCTCAAAAGGAAAGAACAACTGGGATGGGGAAAGGAGAAAAGAAAAAGGGAAAAGGCTACATGTATAAAGGTATGCATATATATGTGTGTAATATAAATATATGTATATATATATATACAGGACAGATTGCTATACTACTAATCTCCGTAACTGCTTCCAAAAGAACAGTTTATGCTCTCTTTGATTGTTTAATCATATTTTTATGCCTAAATCTTGTAACCTAAACAACTACTTCTAAAATAACAATATGAAATATATTAACTAGTGCTAATTTCCTACTTTTTTGAAGTGCTGTATCATTTCTATCTTTTGTTATTAAAATAGAAAACACAAAAATACAATACATCAACTATTACTAAACAGAAACCTCAATTTTTCTCCTATCTTTCATGTAAATCATTAGTTTTCACATTTCATTGTGTCATCTTTAAGGATTTTCAATGATGTTTAATATTTTCACTCATTAGTTAGTAAACATTTCTAGGTCTTACAATGTCTTCTTACCAGACAATGGTGTAATTTCAGCAGTGTATACAGAACTTTTAATTCCTAGAATATTCTTTAAATCTTGGCCTTACTACATTTTAAAAAATAAGTGAAATTACAAAATCAAATTTTGATGGTATAATGTAAATTTAAAGATTGACAACATAACAATACCAGAATTGTTGGTTAATAGAAAGAGAACACAGTATTTTAACTTGTTACCATTGGCATTAGGCCTGTACTTTTGGGGTTTAACTTGAAGCAAAAATAAAATGCTAATATGTGTCACTGAAGAGACTATATACAGTATGAGCTATAACTACATATCATGATTTAATTTTAACTGATTGTGATGATAATCTTATTTACAACTAACTATAAGTTTATTGGTTGAGTTTAAGTCATTTATTACTGACATTCAAAAATATGTTGCTTATAAAAACAGAAATATATCAAGTGCTTACCTTAACAGCATAGCAGAAAACACAGAACCAAAATTACAGTGAAAGTGGCAAAACAGTGTACACATCTTAAATCTTTTTTTTGGAAGCTATTATCTTGGGGATATCTTTCCATGGAACCAACTACTACTAGATTTACAAAATCAACACAAATACAACATCTACAAAATCAAATGGATTATTCCTACTCCCAAAACTTTTCTGCCATATTCTGCTACATTCTGTAGCCTGATTAACCGTGCGCCATTTACTGCAGTTAGAAATATCAAAATCGTTTCAATATCTTCTTCATTTTTTTAACAGTCCTCGCCGGTCGAATTTCACCATTAATGAGGAAAACTTGGTAAACAGCTACTGCTTCTTTTCACTTCTCATATGTGGATCTAACACCCTTTCAAACATTAACTAATTCATTGCTTTTAACAGAACTATTAGAGATGAAATAGAGGAAGGGTGGGTAGAAGGAGACTGAGTTACTTTTCTGTGCTCTTGACAAGTGAGCTGTAGTGTGGACACAGTACCAGGTTTCCTATTTTGTGACTAGATAATCTCATGATATATGATTTTTATCTACTGTTAGCTGTTTCCAGGTACAAGTTCTAACATCATCCCCCTAGAGTGAGACAGTAACCCAATCTCAGGACTCTGCATTGTCATTGCATCCTTCCTGGGAAAATAATTACCATGTAAATCTAGTTATCCTGCATTCTCTTAAATGTTTTTTAATTGTTGCCTCAATAAATACTGAGGACTTTAACATTATAGAGACTTTGAAAGTACACACTGTAGTTGGAATCTTGATTTCCCTAGCATTTCCTTCATTTCTTTCCACTTCATATTTTACAGACTTGGGAAAAATAAGTCATCAGTAGTATCATTTCCACTTTGTCATATTTCAAGTTCCCAATACTGGGTTCATTTTTCTTCCCATTCTTGCTTGCCTGGAAGGATAATTAATATTCACTGTGTAACACTTTCCTTATTCACTGGTTCATCTCTGCAGCATCTCGGATCATGCTTTCCCTGTTGTACAGTAGCCAGCTCTTCTACACACCCCGTGATTTGCACATGTATTAATTAGATAATTCAACTGCAAATGCTTTTTAACATGAGTTCTCTGCTTGGCTGGGAACACTCTAAAGCCTGGGATTTTATATATGTCTTTGTGATAATCTACCTATCTAAGCAAATGTCCAAAGGAAAAACCTATTATTAAAGAATAAATATATGAAATATAAGAATAAATGTAGAAATGTAAGAAGTTGTAAAACCATTTGATTTTTAGAAGAATTGCTAGGTTCATTTTCATGATCAACATAGAACTTTTGACACTAAATTGTATAAAAATTTGATTATTTTTCTTCATATAAACACTATACTTGCTGAGTATCAGTTAGTGAAAATTAACATGAATCATTTCATGAAAGGGTTATGTTTTATCATAAATTCATACCTTCAAAGCAAACTTCACCAAGCCTTGAGTATTTTTATCATTTAAATTTATGACTCAGATTTTTATAGGCATTTGTATTCTTAGATATGAGCATGTGTTTATAAAAATGATAAGTTGGTATAGAAAGTGAAGTTTCTTTCAGATGCCTCCAATCAGCACTGGTATTTCTAGACAATTTCTATTTTCAAAATAATATATAAATAAGGCCCAAACTTATTTCCAAGCTAAAGTATTTCTTAACATCTTTTGTTCAAACAAAATATGTTATTTTGTTTCTTAACATAACTTAGTTGATTCTTTCTGTGCATAAAAGTAGAAAACCTTTAAATATATTATTGCAGTATAGTATCTTCTATCATTGACATTAAATTATACGAATAGAGAACCCAGATGTATAAAAAATAAAAACAGACATGGGTAAGTGGAAGAGAAATGATATAAAGCTCTATTATTCACATTCAAATAATAAAACAAAAATTGCTACATACCTAGCTCTTTAGTGTAGTAGGCATCCCATGGTTTCCAAAGAGTTTCAAACATGTAGTCTTGTAGATGGTAAGAGATGAAATTCCTGACTCTGTCAGCAAAAGTCATCTGGTCAGTGAGTTCTGATAGAATAGCAGGAACATAGGAAGGAGGGTATGGTACCTTCCCACAGTGCTTTTCGACATTTGAGGCAGGAGAAAACCTCAAGGAATAGATAAATGGAATTCCCAACTTTAAAGCTACTATATCACCACAAGGGAATACTGGATCCGACACTAGGACTTCAAACTTGCTTTTCTTCAGTTTGTCCATCAGCTTTTCATTTCTAAGAACACCATCACAAATCTCTCTAGACACAGTGTGGAAGTCCTTGATGACTTTAGCCATCTCCTGATAGAATCTCCAAATGGTTGAAGGAGATGGCCTATTTTCAAGCCATGTTAAAACAAAGTCCTTGATCAATCCTTCCATTCTTTCTTTGCCAAAAGACACTTTATATATTTCAAATGTCAGAGATGACTGAGATGATGGTGTGATAAAAAGTGCACCCGAGGCTACCAGGACAGTCACATTATGCTCTCTTTTAATGAGCTCATCAATAATGATCTTAACATTGAGCCAGTGACTGCCTTCCATTGGCCAAATCAGAATATTCCCAGCAAGAGTGGTTCCTAGGAGGCTTATCTGAAGAGACAACAGCAGAATGTTTCTTAACATGATGCCTTGATGCAGAAGATGTGAGGAGATGAAGCAAATGAGTGCCTCTGCCTATCAAACAAGAAGACAAAAGGAAAGTTCAAAAAGTAACCTCAATATTGGTACAAATATTTGACATCTCTCTACCAAATGATGTAAGTCAAGGTAGCTAATGGGTTGATGGCAATTGCGGGTTTAAGATCACAGATTTAAGATCAGAGATTTAGATTCCTACTCTACAATTTTTCTCTTAAACTTGATCCTTCGGCCTATCATTATATCTAAGATTTGCGAACATTTTTCCAATAAATTTATTAAAGCTTTTTTATATCTCAGATTCATACTTAGTGCTCCATACTGCAACCTCAAATTGGAACTAAATTTACTCAGACATGCAGAGATGTGAATTCTGTAAGGTATTTTGATATGTAGTAAATTCAAATAATTCCAATAGTTAAACACCATTATAATAACAATAACTGATAAAACTTTTGTAAAAGATATTTATAAAAATATGGTTCATATATGTTGTTGACATAGCAGCAATTAAAGAAATTTTGTGTAGTAATCTCTGAGAAAAATATTATTATTACATGAATAAATGATATGCAAGTAATATGTGCAATACATATGGATAATATGGACAATAGGGTCTATTGAAGAGAAAGGCTGATTACAGCACATTTTTTATCAAAAATACTCTTCAAGAGCTAGGTATCCTGGATTAATAATATTACATCAAGACTGTCTTTTCAAAGTGCTAGCATTCATTAAGCCATTGCTATATGACATTGTTATAAATGTTTTACATATGTTAATCTCATTAACCTCTCATTTTGTGAGATTCAATTAAGCAAATTCTGCAATTATCCCTGTATCAGAGAGGGAACCGCCATTCAGAGGCACCATATCACATGCGAAGTTCCAAAACAACATAAAGAAAGAATTCATCCTTACTGTGACAATTTTTACAGTCTCTTAGAGCCCGTGTGTTACCCAGGAAGGTAGACTCTCTTACCAGAATATGCCATGTGTCTTTACTAATTCTAAGTGATCTGAGTTAAAAGTAACCTGAAACACAGCACCACAATAATAATTTGAAACACAATGGATAATATAAGGCAAATGCAAACAGCCACATGTTCTTTATGAAAATCATGCATGTCTCTGTCAATAGACAGAAAATCATGCATGTCTCTGTCAATAACCAGAGATGTCATTATTGTTTTTAATTTTTATAATTTGATAGAATAATTTTATAGAAATTTTATAGAACTAATTTTGTAGAAATTCTGGACCTTAGTGATCCTTTAAAATTATCACTGCTGAGCTCTCCTATCACCAAAGAAAATTGCTAATGAAACACCATTTTATTGGAACAGCTAACTTTAAAATGTATGTTTTAAAGTTTAGCAAAGTTATTATAAAATTCCTTTGGCTACATTTGAATTCAAGACTTTCTCCAAACAATTCAGCCATGTGCACCAAACAGATGCATGTTAATGTCAGTTATGCCCAGGATTGGGTGGCGGCAGGCTCCGAAATACCTGTCAAGTCATTCACGAGAATAGAAAATGTTTGTGATTCATTGGTATCATTTTTCTATTTTATTTGCTAGCATGAACTAAGATCAAGTTTCAGACAACCAAATGAAGAGATTTATTTTTTATTTTTTTAATTAAAATGTTTCTCTACTGGGCACAACACTTCCTGCTAGGGGAAAGATGAATCCAAAAAATCTTTTTCACACTGATTGTAGTCTGTAAATGAGGCATAAGAATACTATACAAAGGACTACAAAACATCAGCACTTAGATTTCAGAATCAATGCAACCGTATAATCATACTTTATTATGCTTCTCCACACATAATTACATAATTACATTTATTTTCATATATAAAATTCAACATTTAATGAAACCATGAATCTATCGAGTATATAGTAACAAAACAAAATATATAGCACACATTTTACTACATAATACAGACCAGAAATTATAATATAATAATCCTGCAACCTATAATGTATATTTAAATAATTAAAATTGTTTTCATTTACAAAAAAGTATGTGCTTGGGGTGAACACTGTTTAAAATCAATGGACTCTCTTCTCCACGCCCTACTCAAAAAAACAGACAAGTGTCTTACATGAAATAACACAGGCAAGATGTTTTGAACATTATATAAAGTAGGAATTGCTTCCATTGTGGGGGGATAGTAATTGATGGACAGACAACAGCTGTCTTCATGAGTGATGTGATTTTGATACATATTTTCAAATGTAAATAACCCAGATGTCTGTACTCAGCAATGTTCACAAAAGAAATGAATATTGTTCCATAAAAAAGCTTAATGTTTCATTAAACTTTAGAGATACATGTCTGATATTAAGAAAGTTCTCAAACTATGAAAATCAAATTTTAGGTTGTGTTGTATTTTTTAATTAAATAGAAAACTAAATAAAAAGTAATACTGACAAAAAACACCTATAGAGGATGAACAAAATATGCCACAATGAGGTTTGAACATTTAATTTTAATTGTTTTGACTTTAAGACAATTGAGAAGCTATTTGCTGTTCTTAGAAAATTTCTGAAGAAAATTATAGCTAAAAATATGATTAAGATGCATGTAAAAGCTAATGAATTCAGAGACTACTAATATATTTACACAGAAACTAGCATAATCAAATACTGTATAATTATCAATCATAATAACTTATGTAGTTTGCCTACTTACACACAAAGAGAAGAAATAAGCAATCTGTGTTACTAAAATTGGACATTGCCTTAACAGTTATATTAATAAAGTTGGATACTGCTTAATTGGAGAACTTTCTATAGAGAAACATCATCTTCTTTCTCTTTTTAAATAAACAAATTTGACTTCATATAAAACTTATGAACTCTATTAAAATATATAAATTTGAAAGTGTCTGAATATTTTAAAATTCATTGTCCAATACTAGTAAAATAAAGTATCACCAAAGGGTGAATCTTTTTCCTCTTACATACAAGCTGCATTAAAGACCAGAGGAGTCCATTGTGAGACTCATCCTTGTCTTTTCCGTGTAATAGACTAAACCTCGTTTATCTATAATGTGTTACCCAATGAAGCACTAACTAACTTGCCAGTGGAAGGAACTAGGTTTACAGGCTAAGCCTTCAAAAAGGGTAATGGGTTCACACTTAAAGAAAAGTCTGCATGTACGGCTATATAATACACATCCTTGGTTTTGCATAAAATTGTCCTAAAGTATAAAATCTGGTTTAAAAAACCTCTCTGATTATTACAGAATAGAACTGAAAACTTTGTCAAGGTCAAGCAATGATATAAACTTCAAGTTAAACCACAAAATTTCAGTGCCAGTTCTTTTAAAAGAAAATATAAAAGCTCAGATTTACTTTATATGCTGGGTTATTATATAGGTTCTAAATAACTTACCTGAAATTTCTGGGAGAAACTTTAGTGGCACGCATTTACCATCGTGAAGAAATTGAGCTTAAATAAATCCCAACTGGCTTAAAGTGGTATGATAAACAATGTGATCTTAAATAAAGAAAAGATTAAATAGATTTGTTTCCACTTAGTAAGAACACCCACTACATTATGAACCTGATTAACCTTCAGTTAAAGCTATATTCTCCCATGGGTACTCTCATAATTATCTGCATTGAACATTGCCTTTGTTATCTACAAGGAATGTATGTGGAACAATGCCTGACAATGATTCTAATCTTGGAATTATTGCTAAGAAAAAATATTACTAATATTTCTAAAGTTAATACATCAAATTATTGTTAATTACTAAATAATTTAATTAAAATAAATATTTTATTTTAGGCCAACTGGCTTCTCATGTTAGTTTTCCAATAATGTCATAAAGTACTTGAAAATGAAATCTTAAACACAGGATGGCTCCTAGTCTGGGCTCATCATTTCAGAGATTTTCTTTGGTGGCCAGCAGGCTCCACTGTGGTAAGCCAGAGGCAAAGCAGAAAAGTCCCAGCTGAAAGGAATGGCAGAGTGAATCTGCTCCCCTCAGGACAGCCAAGAAGGGAGAGAGAGGACTGGCACTGCCAGGCTTGCTCTTCCTTCCTCTTGTTCCCACTAGGCCCACAGCCTCCTGGACGAGGTCAGCCACATTCAGGGGCTGGAGACTCCCTCAGCCTGTGGGGCCGGTGCCTGGGCCCTCTGGAAACCCCCACAGACACATCCAGGACTGTGTTTGCTAATTTCCAAGATGTTTCTCAAGCTGACTCTAAAGATTAACAATCCCAATGCTGAACAATGGTGACGATGGGTGATTTTGTTGATGCTTACCATTTATTAGAAAAGGTAAGAACTTACCTTTAATAAATAAATATTTTAAAGTCATATCCTTAAGGACAAAAATTACCATTATGTTTCTTTTTCCTGACTAAATTATTTTAGTATACGTTTTGATTTAGCATCCCAAATACACTATATATTTTTTGAAGGTAGTAAAATACAACAAAACAGTACAGAACAAAACCAATCAAGACAATGCAGTGAAAGTGATACAGAACTTCAGAATAGGCTACCAGGATAACAGTAATAGGTACCATAGTATGTCTTGTTATCTTCACAATAGTTATCCATTCAATCAGGTATAGCAAAATCTAATCAAAAACAGAACATTATAAAACCTATCAAAACAGAATATTGAATAGAGCAAAACAATTCATCAGTACCAAGCAAAACAGTGAAAACAATATTTGCCTTCCAAGAGAAAATAGAAGGAAATCCTTCATACTTGCTATACTGCACACAGTCATCCTCCCAAAAGATGCTCAGACATCTATCCCTAAGTCAGCATAATCAACCCAACAATACAAGCTTTTAGTTGCTTTATGTGCCTTAGTTGCTATCAACTCGGGCTGCCCCCACACCATCCAGCTGGTAACAAGGTGGGGGGTGGGTGGATGGGAAGTTTGATTCTCAGCCTGTGCACCTTCGGCTCATGGGCCACGGTGACTTGCTCTTTCCCTGGCACGCTCA